TATTAGTGACATTTTGTTTAAGAAAAATACTGACATATTTTTGTACAACCTCCGATACAATTTCACAATTATTAATCTTAACCGGCCAAACAAAATACAATGAGAAAATTCTCGAGAACTTGCAAATTGGACAAACACGTGTCTACGAAAGTTTGAACACTCAACTATTAGTCCATGAATATTGGATGCCGGCCCAACCTCTCATTGATCATACACAAATGCTCCAAACTCTCGTTGTTTATCGTGGTTAGTCATGATATTTTAATTCTCTAATATTGATTTATTCAAGTGTTTGTAACATATCATATCGTATGGACGATTGAGTTGACCCTTTTTGATACAAACTCTGGTACGATTTTACTAAATTTTATTTATTCCTTTCACTGAGGGCGGCTACGTTTTTTTTCCAATTAAAATTGCGGTTTATGTCTCAACAGACATATTTACGTAAGCATTTTCCCACAATTTTGGAACTAATTATTTGACAATTTGGTCTCCTAAAATCGTTATTCCCATTGATGAAAATTTTCAATATGTAGTATATTGTAATTCTTGATTAGGATGTCGTTTTAACTAATAAATTATTGTAATTTATCTTTCTTTTTTTATTACTAATGTTATTTATCTTTAAGTTCCTCTTTTACCCTTTCATTCTCTGTTAAATAATAAGATTTGCATTCTTTCTTTTTCAATTCGATTCCTCAAAATGAAAGGAATGGTAAGATTTTTAATCTTCATTCAGTAAAAACTAACAAAGTCAGCTCAAAAAATCAAGCCCCTTCATCATCATGGATAGGTAATGGGTTTTCAATATTTAATCTCAAGCCCACCTAATTAATCAGCAAAAAAGCCTGGTCATTTTTATTGTAAAAAAAAGAAAGGGCTGGCCAAATTTTGATCCGCATAGTTTTGGGCCAAATCTTTTTTCAGCCCGCACACAAACCTAGAACCAGGCGTGTTTGACCCCATCGTCCACTGGGCAGGTAATTTGTTCCTGGGTATAGCAGTTTATTTTAAACCATTTTGGTTAATTTTGTTTAACTCATTGCAGAATTGGTTTATTGTAAACAAATACTTTAAAGCAGTAACCGTTAAATTTGTAGGCAGTCCTCCACTTCCCCCAATTCACGCGCCGTTTAAATACCCACCTCCCCCTCTCAATTTAAAATAGAATGAGTTAATCTTATGTTCATTTATATAGCCGAATGAAACCTCCTTCCTCCGTTCCAACTCTGACCCTCACTGTACCAATCCAATATCGCAATCATGTCTGTCAATCCTCTTCCTGTTCTTCATGTTCAAAACGACACCTGGGTGTTGCGGCTGCGGCTGCGGCTGCTGAGGGTATGGGGGAAGCTGTATCATACCGGGGATTCACTTCAACAAGTGAATCTCTTATTCATTAACAACCAGGTCTGTGTATTATTCATTTTGACCTCTTTCTCAGTAACGGTTGTACATACATTAATTCATTTTTCTTGACTATGCAGGGTCAGTTGGTTGAAGGCATCATTCGGCGACCACATTTAAATTGATTTCTGTCAAGTCTTCATGAGGGCCGTGTTTATGGAGTAATGTCGTTTTACATTGAAGAGAACAACTCTATTCATCGAGTGGGAGAAGCGGATTTTCGTTTGTCATTTCGTTCGGATACCCTGTTGTATGTCATGGAGGACACAGGTGATATTGAGAAATTTAGTTTCCGTTTCCTTGCTGTCAGGGACATCCCTTATGCATTTCAGAATCAAACTTATCTGCCGGGTATGAGCTTTAAAACAATAGCTTCCTCAAATAAATGCATTTTGCTAACACCCTACATCTGAATGCACGGTTTTTCGGATTGGCTTTTCTAGATTTGGTTGGAACTATTTTTGGATGTGAACCTGTTCAGGTTCTCTACCCAGGTTTACCGGTTCGGAAGAAGCGGATCACGCTCCTACTAGTAGAGTCCGTAAAATGGTTCTTTTGTCTATGCTCATTCTGAAAACAGTGGTTATTTCTATCTTACCAACTTCTGTTTATTTTTTTAGGGGAGAGATAGCTTATGTTTTTTAGTCGGACTCGGCAATACCAAGTTTTGAAGAAGTTGTTTCTGATGCCGGAGCTTTGGGCAGATCGCGGTCTTCACATCACTATTCACCGAGCAAAACGAAGGTGCGAAAATTTTCTGCCTTTTTCTTATTAGAAAGATACTAACCTTTTTTGTGGTCATGTGAGAACAAATGAATATTTGCATAGTTTGCGTCCATTGAGTAGCTAATTCGTATGCATTTGGTTATCATGTCCTTGAGAATTGTAACATTTTTCGTGATGGAGTAGATGCTGCCCTTTGTTTCGTTTGACAATGACTAGGTTCAGAATACGGAGTCGTTTACAAAACAGAATTTTATTATCCAATTAGCACAATTAATTAAATTTTTGTTTACTCATTTGGGACCGTAAAACGTTGTTTGAAGAAACATGTTAATAAGATAAGCTGTATCACTTCAATTCTGGTCATCATGTTTTGTAAATTAATAACAGTTCCTATCACTGTAATTTTATTTACTCATGTGTTTGTGGTTTTATTGTTAAATGGATGTTAGGAGGTTATTCGTTTTCTTCCTCACGAGCAACTAAAATGTATCTCAACATTCACTGCCCTCACTTGCGTCCTTTGTTAAACCAGTAAGCTTCACAAACCTCTATCTTTGAAACTTTAAATTATAATGTGTGTGGTATCTGTTGATAGTGGTAATTCTGGTTAATTTATTATTAGGGAAGATGGACCCCAATTTGGATCTAACTATATTGTTGGACCATTGCTATACGAGGAAGCTCTCGACATATCTGAGCACACCACGGTTCCACAGCTTAATATGATAAAGTTAAGTCTGTATAGTACGGTAAGTCACTCAAACTCAACTAAACACCAATTTTTTTAAAACACAGTCATTACCCAATTCAACATTTGCTTCATTTTGGTGATTAATAACCCATGTGTCTGTTTTAGGGGACGGTATACATCATGACAGGAAAACTAAAAGCCATTGGAATTTCAAATTCGGCGCACTCTATGGTCAGTGTTGTGCATTTCACCATCAATGATGTAACTGAGGAGCTGGAAGTTGTGTTTCCCTTTGTCAACCTTAGACGCATTGTTGGTGATGTGGTTGCGGAGACAGATATTGATTGGGACACTAACATCATCGCCATTCTCAACTGCATTGATTTGAAGTATTACCAGTTTGTCATTGAAGTTGGAGCGTGGAACCGCATGGTCCGTCACTGTGATTTGGTTTTGCTGAAGATGTTCTCTGCTGCCTTTTAAGGATGGAGGGCTTTTAATGGATTCCTGGTCTGTGTTCCTAAATATCAACCACACTCAAACATTTAATAGGAAGTGGTTGGCTAGGCATTTCTCATCATTCGGCTCTATTTACTACTTCCACCGTACTTTTTTACTGTTATTTGTGATGATCAGATTGTTGGAGCTTAGCCTTTTAGTTTCACGGTTTGGTTTTAAAGCACCCAATGTGCAAGAGATTACCTGTAATTGATTTCCTCAGCTTTGTTTATAATGGAGAATCACTTATTTATTTGGATTGGTTTGTTGCTGTTTTACAATATGGTAGTTAAGCAGATAGGGTGTAAGAACTTATGCGCATATGAACCAGGAAATATTGTCGGGATTGTGTTATGCACTTGATTATTTTTCTTAGTCCTGGTTATGATCCAATGTGAATTATGTGTATATGAAACATATTTTTGGAGAATTTAGTTACAATCTAACAAATATCATCAACTTTTAACTATTACATTCACAAAATGAAAAAAAAAATTATTTTTTTATTAATTACATTCATTATGATATCACTTTGCTTAGAATGCATAATTCGATCAGACTGGTCATACCGGTGATGTCATGCTGGTTTTATGACTGGCGCAGTTTGAACCAGGTTCAACCGGGTGGCATGCCGCCCGCATGACAACCATAGTAGCATTACATAAAGGCCCATCACAACTGTCTCAAACTGTATTGGGCCTAATGAACAGCCTACGTATTTGAGAATGATTATTTCCTAACAATTTGGAGCCCACACACCTACTTACTTATCTGCCAACCCAGCCCGTTGTGTTCAACCATGGCCTCAACAACACTGCTTTCTCATCCCTATTTGTTTTGTTCTGGATTTCTATAACCGAGAAGAAAATGGGCAATTAGAAAGTGTCAACCCCTTTCATTCTCTGGGTATTATTTTTCTATTATCACACTTGATTTGCGAGATTTTCTTCTCATTTACCTACAATTATTATTTTATAAATTAACCTATATAAAATGATTTAAATTCATTCAGTAGTGACTCGAGATTAATTAATTAATGATACTTTAAGCATGATTCAGTTTTTGTTTTTGTTTTTTTTACGTAACCTAATTTCATTACGAAATAGGAAAATGATACAGAGTTGGACCATGGTCCTTGAAAAATAGAAGTCTAACCAAATCGTAAAGTTGAGCCCACCCAAAACACAAAATGAAAGCCCACCCACAAATACATAAATCAGAAAAACACACAAGAGAAAAACTCCAAAACCCACCCCAACACCCACGATAACCCAATCCAGAAAAAACCCAAACACACCAAACACCACAACCCAGCCCACAAACAACCCTAGCATGGTTCAATTTAATAAAATATAGTTAGGGAGGGTTTTGGGAATGCCCAGCCGCCCCTTGAACTCTAAATGGCCAACCTACTCTACCTTTTCGGCGGATCCTTCTCCACTCCCCCACCTCCTCTACTGCCAAGTAACCAAATTTTTTGCAACTTCTATGAGGTGAAGGCCACGTTTGCCGCACACCAACTCATTATTTCTTTATTAATTACATTCATTATGATTTTCATTTCATGCTATTTAGTGGTGGGGTGGGGTGGGCCGGCCGGCCGGGTTGGCGCATCCAATACTAATTAGCAACTTTGAGAGGCAATTTTGGACAAGAATTGTTGACACATTTGCAATTAGTGATTAAAAGAAAATGGTTAGGGAGGATTTTGGGATTGCCCAGCCGCCTCTTGAACTCTAAATGGCCAACCTACTCTACATTTTCGACGGATCCTTCTCCACTCCCCCACGAGGCCACAAATGCTTCTCCACTCTCCCACTATCCCACTTTCCACACACACGTAGTCCACTGCATGCGGCCAAGTGAATCAAAATCACTTTCTCTCCTTTATATAATGGAGATACCACTTTCTCTCCTGTTACAATTTCCGTTTACTACTTCCCATACAAAACACTTCGGTTCCATTCACCGTGCGAATTGCATTCAATATGGCGGGCCTACCTCAATTCAATCAGTAAGTACTGCTCATGCATCCAACGAATACTACATCATGTAATTTTGATTCTTTTTCACTACTTAGTGCCAAAACTTACAGTCCAATATATAGGCTTCCCCATGGTTTTATTGCTAATCTGCAAAATACGATGATGTTGTTGAAATTTGTGAGCGTGCCGACACCATCGATCTCATTATGTTGCAAGTGGATGTCGAAAATCAGGTAACTAAACAAATAAATTTCTTTTTAATCGTACGCCTTTTGTGGCATGCTGCATTTTATCGATTTGCTTTGACAATATTCGTTTCTGTGTTTACATCAGGGCACCTCTTTTCTGTTATCTGGACGTGTAACGAATTCGACGACGTCCTGGTCCCCTGCATCCAGAATCCATTTCGTCCACCTCACAATTGAGGACGATTTCATTGGTGTTGACATCGTCTTCCCGTCATCACAGTTACGAACGATTGTTGGATCTGTATTCAGTCATGCAGATGTTGTCAATGCTGACTATATGGCCCTTCTGAACATGGTTGGAGAACAGACATTTGAAGTCATGGTCACAGTCGGTCCCTGGAACAATGCATTTGGTTATTGTGAACTTGTGTTGGTGAAATTATTTTTGCCTTTGTTGAATTGAGTACCATGTCATGAACAATGAGACAATGTCTTGAGTTTTCTTATTTTGGACTTGCATGTTATTTGTCGTAATACTCAACTAGATTAGATTTGTGATTAGTAAAATTTCATGTAAGTATTTTTATCTTGATTAGCTAATCTTCAAATGTATTTCTAACTTATTATGAATGTTCATTCAAATTAAATGTTCGTCTTTAACGAATTGCAAAATTGCAACAATCTTATGATAATATAAAACAAGACTCATTTCTCGACACTATCATTATAGATATTGTAACTCCATTTCCTTAAACAAATGCGGCCAACGGGCCGGGCTATAGGCTAGTCTTGCTTTCTAGCGGCACGCTTTGCACAAATGGCTTTTCATGTCCTGGTTTTAGTTATTAAAGTTGTACAACTTTAATATTTTATTTTACATCTCTTTAATTTGGTGTGTTTCTCCCCCTTCAATTTGATGTTTTCTATATTTTCTTGATCAAAGCTCTATGTTAATTTCCAAGTATATATGCTTATACTCTCCTATGTTTACAAAATTTCCTGTCTGTGTTGTTTTCACTTTCTATACCTTAGTGTATAATTTTTTTAAAGCATCAAAATTTAATGTTATTTTACCTTACACTAAATTTTTTCTTTTATGTCTAATTAACTTGCATAACAATGATAGATACAATAATAAACACAGATTATGTGATATATCTTTCTTCTTGAAGTTTGTAAAAAAATTCATGTTTATTTATTTGGAAAAATAAAGACGATGCCAATATTAAAGACTTCTTTTGCCTACTTATTGTTTTCATGGAATTTTCGTCTTTTCCTTTATTTGATTTGGGAGAGGAAAGGATCTATACATATAATATGTACTATTTCCTGGCATGTAGAAGATTGGAATTCATTAGTAGTTGTTAGTTTATCTCTTTCATCTCAATTCTCTTCGTTTTAAGTTTCTTTCTTATATTTATCGTTCGATTCTACCGGAGGAATCCACGTTAACTTACTGGTCTCATTAGCAAATTGTGTAGCTTTTAGGTTCCACTGAATTGAGAGGAAGAGGGTTTGGAGTTAATATCATAACCGTGCCTTATAAATACCCTAATTATTTATCTCTCCAATACGACAGATTGCTCAGAAGCTCGACTTAAACCCACTAATAATATTCTAGACCACTTTAATCTCACCGCTTCTTATCATCGCAGCACCGTTAATATTCACATATAACCATGGCCAATTCTCGAGCGCCTACTCCTCTTCAATAATCCTAGGCTAGTATCAAAGCTATAACGGAAACTAAAAGCAGTAGGGAAGAAAAGACAAACCTGAACCAATGATCAAGGCTTGACCTGCAGCTGCAGCTGGTCTCTGTCGTATAACCTATCTCGCCGACGAAGCTACAAAACGCGAGAAAAAAGACTGTGGTACTTAGTGGAGTGACGGCCGCTGTGAAGCGGATCGCGCCATGGTTGGCTTCTCCCTCGACTGGCGGCTACTGCTGGGTGTTAGCTTCGCTTCCTCGGTTTATTAGGTTTAGCTTGTTTATATATAGAGGAAGGGGAATAAAGGACCGAGACAGAAAAGAAAGCTGCGGGAAGCTTTCTTTAGGTGTACTTTAGGTGTTCTCTTTTGCTTAGGGTTTATTTTTATTTAGTCGGTTGGTTATAAGGGGTACTTTAGGTGTTCTATATATAAAATTGGGGAATGGATGTGACAGTAGGACGTAGGGATTGTAATTTTGGCTTGGACCGTTTTATCTGACTTGTTTAACGTGTTTTGGGCATGGTTCATGAAACCGTACCGGAAAAGGCAGCGATAGGATATTTTATGACAAAGCCGTGGTTTAACTGTAGTTCAACCATTTATACCGTTAAATACCGTCTACCGGTTTAGCCTCCGATACTGGTATTTTGTGGTTGAACCGCCGGTACGATACGGTTTCATATGGACCATTGTTTTGGGGCGGGTCTGACCCGCCCCGTAGGTGGGGTGGGGCGAGAACGGGTACCTCTCGTCGACCCGACCTGCTCTGACCCGCCCCATTCTCTAATCGTTTTTGCCTAAATTACATGTAATCTTAGTCAAGTTACTTAGAATCTTCCTCTTATTACCTCATATTTTAGTTATAATAAAGTTGTAAATAAATGAAAACATCAATTTCTCCAATATTTTAACTACATTTTATCATAGTGGTTTTTTCCTGGGTCATTTAATGAAAATAAGGAATAAGTCTAATGTTTATCACATAAATTATATACCCATTGGATCGACCTGCCCCGACCCACGTCCCATAATAAATTACACGATCTAGACCCGACCTGTCACGGAGGCGGATATGAGTATCGAGATACCCGTCCCGGACCTGCCTCATTGTCATTCCTAGTAGGATGTCGATCTACATGCAAGAAACAATGAAGCTTTCTTGTACTAATTAATGGCGCACACACGAATATATATATGAACTTAATCCATGTACAAATGATGCAAAGGGAAAAAATAATTCTACCATAATTATATGAATTTTTTGTATCGCAGAAGTGAATATGTGATCTTCTAATTAAAACATATGAGATATAATCAAAGTATAGTGTATTTACGTGGTAGTGGGAGACATGAATTATGTTTTGTCGCAGGCGGAGAAAGCAGGAGGAGTTCTTTGGAATTCGGTTTCGGCTTCTAGTTTTCGTGATTTCATGCATGTGTGTGCCTTGCAGGATGCGGGGGGAAACAGGTCCCAGTTTTACGTGGATGAATAAGAGAATGGGTGATGTAATGATCATGGAACGGTTAGATCATGTTCTAGAATCCCAGGGGTGGATGGAGCGCTTTCCGAATACCATAGTGAAGCATTGCACAGATATGGGTTCGGATCATCGCGCGTTGTTTTTGGCGGACCAGCCGTATGCTCGTATATCAAAGCTAGTTTTTAGATTCGATGGTTGATGGGTGGAGAACCCGAAAGTCCGACTGTTAGTTCAGTATGTGTGGGATCAGCCGCAGGCTGTTTCCCCGTTGTTCTGCCTCTAGCAACGTCTTAAAGCGTTGCAACACTTATTGTTTGATTGGAGTAGAGCTGGGACAGGGAATTCTGCCAGAAATATTTGGACCTTGCAAACCGAAATCGAGGCTCTGAAGCAGGAAGGGGCAATTGATTGGGAAAAGATCGGTGCTCTCGAACGAGACTTAGCGCGACAGTGGGCGACGGAGGAGTCGTACTGGCGTCAAAAATCACGAGTGCCTTGGCTACAGGGTGGTGACCAGAACACTTCATATTTTCATACGGTTACCCGAATAAGACGTAGAAAGAATTATATCGAGGGTGTTTATGATAGTGATGGTGTGTGGGTAATGGAGGAGGGTCAGAAGGGTGCGGTGGCGAGCAGCTACTATGCTGAGTTGTTCACATCTGAAAATCAAATTGGTAATATGGAGGAGAGGGTGGCGGGTTTACCTATTGCTACGGTGGTGACCCCAGGCATTAATGATGAGCTGATTGCACCTGTTAATCCGGAGGAAATTAGGCGCGTGGTGTTTGCGATTGGGGCTACACAAGCTCCAGGATCTTACGGGTTTACCGGTAAGTTCTACAAGACTTACTGGGATATAATTGGAGCTGATGTAGTAGCGGCGATTCAGTCGTTCTTTGTTACTGGGAGGATGCTGAAAAGTTTTAATCATACCTGGCTCACTCTCCTTCCTAAGGTGGAAGTAGTGGAGAATATGAAACAAATTCGCCCGATTAGTCTATGCCAACTTTTTTATAAAAACATTTCAAAAATTATGGTGGAACGGATGGCTTTTCATTTGCCTCGTTTGATCTCACCGGAGCAAAATGGATTCATTCGGGATCGTCAGATCGTTGACAATGTACTTATTGGGCATGAGATTATGCGCTATCTTAAAATCAATATGGATCTTTAGGTGGATATAGAAAAGGCTTATGATAGAGTTGAATGACCCTTTTGTTCGCGATTATAGCTAAGATGGGGTTTAGTAGTCAATGGATAGACTGGATTCGGGAGTGTGTCTCCACGGCGTCGTTTTCTATTATGATGAACGGAGTGCCATCGGGTTATTTTCGATCATCGCGCGGATTGCGTCAGGGGATCCTCTCTCGCCTCTTTTATTTGTTATATGTTCTGAGGGGTTTGGTCCATTGATTCGACAGGCGGTTCAGAGTGGCAGTTTGGTAGGGATTAAGGTTAGCCCTTGTAGTCCGAGTGTGACGCATTTATTTTCTGCATATGATTTGTATCTGTTTTGTGTGGGTTAAGAGGGGAATGTGCCAAGTTAATGGAGGTTTTAGCTGGGTATCAACTGATGAGTGGCCAGAAGGTGAATTTAGCAAAGTCGGCAGTGTGGTTTAGTGGTAATATTGACGAAAGGATGCTAGAAAGATGGCACAGCTGGTTGGTGTTGGTGCATTCAGGACAAGTATTTGGGGTTACCTGCTTTAGTCCATCGCTCGAAGACCGAAACATTCAGATATCTGGAGACTAAGTTGCTGGAGAAATTACAAGGATGGAAACAAAAGCACTTATCTTCGGCGGCAAAGGAGGTTTTGCTCAAAGCGGTGGCATCGGCATTGACCATTCATGTCATGTCTTGTTTTTTGTTATCACTGACATCATTCCGAAAACTAGATAAGCACATGACCAGGTTTTTGTGGAGTTTTACGATGGAGGGCAATAAAGCGCATTGGGTATCTGGGAGAAATCTATGCCGGAGTAAATTTGATGGTGGCCTTGGTTTTAGACGGTTTGAGGACTTTAACCAAGCCTTGTTGATCAAAGTTGCTTGGCGAATTTAGACAGAGC